TTTTCACGTTTTAAATTGAATTACTTCGGTTGCGCAGAAGACGTGAAGAAATCAGTAGATTGCTCTAAATCAGAGAGAGTAGGTGATATGTTTTCGGGAAATGGTTGAGTGGCTTTACTACTTTGTATTGCAATTTCCGTCTTCTTTCAAGTGTAAACGCCAATCAATATTAACTTACTGTTGAAAATGTTGAGTGAAACATTCTTTTCTCAAAATGTAGTCCTTCTCGTAGCCTAATAAATAAAAGAGGAAAAAAAGGATTTCAGACGCCTGAACAAAAAGACATTTGGGAAATTCAACGGTCTAAGGAACTCTCACAATAGTCTCGCAATAGAAAAGTCAAATAGAAAAGATAATTGTTTTGAGATTAACTACTAAACCAACGAGAAACGACTAGCGATGGACAAGATTAACGCCGATTGCAGTTGACATAAAATCCTTCGATTAATCGAAGTATAACTCAGAGCAAGAAACAGCCAATGGGACGGTTACAACTGCCAGGGTAATACCTGTGTTGACAGCTTCTTTGGCGATTTGTGCAGCGATCTTCGACAAGGATGATGTTTTAGAAGCTGTCTTGATAGCTTCATTTACGAGCTCTTCTGCGGGGAAGACTTTACTAACCAGGCCTTATAAAAAATAGGAAAACTGTCTAATTCTGTAATTTGAATTTGAATCTGGGTAAAGAAACATCTCAAGAATGAGTGTGCACCAGTTTTATCACAGGAGGGCATGCCCCAAGTTCACAGTTTAGTCCTTTTACCTAGCTGAACAATTTGAAGTAACGCGGCCTCAACTACGACTTTTTTAAAAAAGGAAAAAGAGCAAATCTACTCGAATCAACACGAAGAGAAAGGTTGGTGCAAATAACTTTTTCCGAGAGCTTTTAATAAGAGAGGAGTACTGAAGACATGCAAGTTTACGTAAACTCTGAAAAACATCTTCGGAAGTGAACGGTTCCTTCGCGGAAATGCTAACAAACAGAAGGGAAAAATCTACGCCTTTAATTCAAATTTTGCAGGCTGACACAAGTTTTTAGCATAAAACAGTGTGTCTCCGTTGTAGTCCTTGATGATGTGGAAGTATTGTACACATTTCTCAATAATTTGTGTGAGAATTTCCTTGTGCCACCGGGAAGACTTACGATGCTAAGTACCTTCCTCCTTGACCCTTTAACCCCCAAGATCTGATTGTTAATTCTCCCCTCTAGCTGCTACACATTTCCTTTTTAATTAGTTATGAGAATTTGATGTTGGATCAATAACAACTTTGAACTGATAAGTTCAAAATTCTCATTATCCGTTTGCTGGATGATGTATGTTTATTACAGGGAGAAGTTGCATGTTGATCGATTTTGTAAGGTAAAGAGGTAATGATGAACAACTGGTCAAAAATAGGAGCTAAGTGGAAAGGAACATGGACCTGATTTCTGTGCATCTTCTGCTGAAATAGGATCTCCTGTTAGTATCATTTCCATAGCCAGGGACTTCCCAACAGCTCTTGGAAGTCGCTGTGTACCACCGGCACCTAAAAAAATGAAAGCAATCTTCGAGTTAGTTGCACCTTTAAGCACAAACTTAAATTTAAACTTGACACAGTTGTAATTCTACTTATTGTCAACCATACAATTCTTATAATTTTAGTTTCAGGAATTTAATATTGGGTCAACTAATTATCCCCAAATTGAAATTTTTCTTTATTCTCACCACTAATCTGGTTAATATTGTATTGATAGTGTAAAGAGAAATTCTGTCTTGGTCACTCATGGGAGTTAAAGGGTTAAAGAACATAAAAGCAGCAATATAAGAGAGTGTAGAATAAAAAAAATATCCATTTCATAAAAAGCCATCTTACTCCTATGATCTTTCCTGATTACAAGTCTTTATTCTCCTAATCACATCACTTTTTTTTTAAGTTAAAGCAAATTTTAACTCTTTGACCCCAAAGAGTGATTAGCATCTAGTTTCTCCTCACAACATCACCCCTGAATCACACATTAAAGTCATGAGAATAAAGGAAATGATCACCAACTAAAGAAGCTCTTGATTGTTAAACAAATTCTCCTTGTCAGCACATTGGGAAATGTATGGAGAAAAGTATGGAGAACTTGCAGACTGATGTTTGGGTGTAAAGGGGCTGGTGACTAATACTCTTAAGAAGTATAAAAAAATCTTGGAAAGGAGAAGACATCAT